AGCATAAGCTTTCGTGGACTACAGCCCACTTCTTCGGATGCATGCTTATGCTCTAATAAATTTGTTAGTCTCTAAGGTGCCACAAGTACTCCTGTTCTTCTTTTTGCAGATACAGACTAACACGGCTGCTACTCTGAAACCTCTTTTTATACTATTTTTCCACTTATTTTTGAGGTATTTTTGATCTCTGTGGTTTTTTTAATAATGCTTTTGTGAAATGCTTAAATGGACCAACATGGAAAAAAAATCAAAAGTTGCCAAATGTTGTGTTTACTAATAACCCAAGTAGCAGCTTTCAGTTTGAACTACTGGCCTCTTAGTGTCCTATGAGGAACACAGCATGATCTGAGAGTATAGCTGCTTCTCCACAGCACTGAGTATAAGCTAAAAGCTTCGTGTAAGCCTTACATCTGGGTTGGGGTTATTTTAGTTTTGTTATAGGTCCACACATTTAATTCAAACTGGCTAAGATCATAGTGGCTTTTTGCTACAGCTGCAGCCCCTGAGTATGTGAATAGTCTTTGAATTCCAAGCAGTGAAGCACTTGACAGCTGTGATGCATCTTTCCTAAGGGACTGGTGTCATCTGTTCCAAATGAGAAGTCTGAGATGGTTTTCACCTCCTTTCTTTCTTTTTTGTCCTCTTATTTTCTTCATTCCCTTGCACCAAACAGCTGTTCATAACCCACGCATAGCCAATTCCATCTTTGTAAACACCTGGCTTTAGTGAGATCACCTACTATTGGCAGACACCTGCAAAACCTGTGTCTAACATGCTAGAGTTACATTTTCTTTGCCTTTGTAGGATTAAACCAGACACTTAAGGTTAAGAAACCTACCTGTTGAAGTACAGTAGAACTTCAGCGTCACAAACACCAGAGTTACGAACTGACCAATCAACCACACATCTCATTTGGAACCAGAAGTACACAATCAGGTAGCAGCAGAGAACCAAAAAAAAAAAAAGCAAATACAGTACTAGGGTGTGAATACCTTCTCCTGCCCAGCTGTCTCATTGTTTGCAGGAGTGTGCAGACTGCATCTCCTGTGCCTGTAAGATTGATTGAACCCAGGGACACAAACATTATTCTATATAAATATTTACTTTGTATTGCAAACCATTATAAACAGCTTCTTTCAAAGGCAATTTTTTTCCATTATAATAAATACATTCATTAAACAAAAAAGTGCCACCTGAACTCTTATTGTCTTTATAGGTGGGTGGGTTTTTTTTGTGTGCACTGATTTAGGAAGGCCTCAAATCTGAAAAGCACCAAAGAGTTTTTTTAAAACAAGCTTAATTTTCAAGCTAAATAACTGTTTCCAAGGAGCTCTGATGGTCTAGCTACTTTCATGGAAAATTCATCTTGTAATTAAGTCTTCCAGCTGACAAGGTTTCAGTTTCTGAGTTTGTCTTTATTAATACATTTTATGGCTTATCCCAGAAGTTGCTGTTTTGTTTTAATCAAAAGTCACATTCCAGATTGTTGACTTAGTCAGTCAAGGACTGTTTTTTTTCTTTTTATTCCATGTGTTGAATAATTATATTCACAGGGTATTGGCTGAATTAAATACTTTAAACTCTGAAAATAATTAATACTTTTTCTTTTAAATGGCTGGCCATGAGTCTTTCTCAGCTTGGAGTCTATGGTCTGGCTACATATTCTGGAATCCTTGTGACATCACTGGACAGGAAGTAGTAGACTTTTTCTAGGCATTGGTGTGCTTTTTCTCTGGTTGTGGTAGGAAGTGCTGGTGACAAATATGCCTTCTGATTCTGATTTTTTTTTTTAAATGTGATAAGTAGTATTTGTCACAAGCCGAATCACTAACTCTGAGGAATTTATTTTATTTATGTAGTTTTGTCTTCAGGAGCTAAGGCGACAATTCCCCGGGAGCCACAGAGTTAAGCGATTAACTGGCATGAGATTTGAATACATGGAAAGGTAATGGCTGAATTTAAAAACCTAATTCTTGTCTGGAAAAGGTACTTGATATCTCTCTTTAAAAAGGAATTCTTCCCACAGTAAAATTTAGAACAGAGGGAATGAATGCAATGCTCTTTCCTTTATAAAAATAGTACTGTGTATGATGAGCTTATTGTGCTTAGGCACTTCTGTTGTATTTTGGCTAGCACAACATTACAGTACTTGTAATCTTCCATTTAGACTTGATAGATTTAAAAGGTTCTTTAGTTGCCATCATCAAACTATAGACAGTAAAACACTACACAGTTTTTGGCAAAACAAAGTCTGTATGCCACAGCTATAAACCAACATATTTAATCCAAATGGTCCAGAATTCCAAGTAGCATTCAAAACCATTGCCCTGCCCCAAATAACTGATGAATATAGCTCTTCTCCCAGTCTTTGTCCTTGTGGATAAAACCCTAATAGGGTTTTATAGAATTGACTCTAAAAACCTTGTAGAATATAAAAGAGAAAACTATTAACTCTTCTGGATGCTTTTGCTCTATCCTACTGAAGAACTATAACTCTATTACATTTTATATAGGATGGTTCAGACAACTTACAGATGGGTTCACTGTCCATAATATTTGACTTTTCCCACAAAGGTGACCCCAGGAGTAGACTGTCCTCTAGGGCACCTCTAGTCTTTGGCTGACTTGCCCATTTGGACACGTTGTATATCAAGTTCCAATAACCTATTCCAAAACCATCTACTTGTGGTGTGGCAGCTAGCAATTTTGCAAAGGACTTCTAGTAACTGCTGATATGGAACATTGGTACCTAGCATGAACTATTTCCTGTAACATACTGCTTACAGTGTTGGTTTTTGAGGCCTAATGCCCGTGGGCCATCCCGATTCCAGGACATTGGACACGTAAAGGGGGAAAAGCCCATTTTCATTTAACAGATATTTCTCATCCTTTCTTTTCCTTGCAAGGAATGTTTTGAAATTGTAAATTGATGTGAATCTATGAAGCCTATTGTTTGGGTTGAAATGAATTGAATGTTGGGCTCTTCTGCTGCAGCACGAGGCTAAGGTACCTAAGCAATCCTTGTCTCACAGCCATTCTTATATAAAATGAGTTGATTTGAGATGTCTTGCTAATCCTTCCCCATAATTCTTAGCTCTGGCGTATGCATATTGGTGTAGCATGGTGAACAGGAATCTGGTTTTGGTTGGGCGATAGGTGGCACAAATTGTTTCTCAAACCTGCTCAAAAATGTGAAGGTCAGCTCTGTCTGCTTGTACGTGCTTCTGTCAAGGTTTGTATGACCAAACTAAAGATGTTGGCCCATGCCTTTGACAAATGGACTCTAACCAGAGGCAGGCATATGTGCACAAGAATGGCCGTACTTGGTCAGACATTGGTCCATCTAGCTCAGTATTCTGTCTTAACAGTGGCCAGTGCCAGATCCTTCTCGCAGTTGGAGGTTTAGGGACACATGGCACATGGGGTTGTGTCCCTGACTATCTTTGCTAATAGCTATTGGTGAACCTATCTTCTAGGAACGTATCTCTCTCCTCTCTCTCTCTCTCTTTTTTTTTTTTTTTAAACCCAGTTATATTTTTGGCCTTCTCAACATCCCCTGGGAACAAGTTCCACAGCTTGACTGTGTGTTGTGTGAAGAAGTACTTCCTTATATGTGGCTTTTTTTTTTAAACCTGCTGTCTGTTAATTTCATCGGGTGGTATCCCTAGTTCTTGTGTTATATGAAGGGGTAAACAACACTTCTCTATTCACTTTCTCCATACCACTCATGATTTCATAGACCTCTATCATGTGCCCCCTTAGTCATCTCTTTTCTAAGATGAACAGTCCCAGTCTTTTTAATCTCTCCTTGTATGGAAGCTGTTGCATGCCCCATCTATTCCTTTCCTAATGGTTCCTAGCACTCTGTTAGCTTTTTTGACTGTTGCTGTACATTGAGCAGATGTTTTGAGAGAATTATTTGGACTTTCAGTGACTCAAGATCTTTCTTAAGTAGCAATAACTAATTTATATCCAATCATTTTGTATGTATAATTGGGATTATTTTTTCCAGTGTGCATTACTTATCAACATTGAATTTCATCTCCCATTTTATTGCACAGTTCCCAACTGACCATTTATTCCTATCCTATTTCCTATCTTTTAACCAGTTACTGATACATGAGAGGATCTTTCCTCTTATCCTATTTTTTATCCTATCCTATCCTTAATTTGTTTAAAAGCTTTTGGTAATGGACCTTGTCAAAAGCTTTCTGAAAGTCTAAATACGCTATATCAACTGGATCACCCGTATCCACATGCTTGTTGACTCCATCAAGCAGTCAGTAGATTGGTGAGGTATGATTTCCCCTTACAAAAGCCATGTTGACTCTTCCCCAACGTATCATGTTTATGTTTTATAATCTTGTTGTTTATTACAGTTTCAAACAATTTGATGGGTACTGAAGTTAGGCTTACCAGCCTATAATTGCCAGGATCGCTTCTGGAGCCTTTTTAAAAAATAGGTGCTACATTAGCTATCTTCCAATCATCTGGTATGGAGCCTGATTTAAGCAATAGGTTACATCCCACAATTAATATATCTGCAAGTTCATATTTGAGTTCCTTCAGAACTCTTGGGTGAGTACTGTCTGGTCCTGATGACATATAATTTATCAGTTTGGTCCGAAACTTCCTCTATTGACACCTCAGTCTGTGACAGTTCCTCAGATTTGTCACCTAAAAAGAATGAGTTGGGTATAGGGCTCTCCCTTATGTCCTGTGCAGTAAAGAATGATGGAAAGAATTCATTTAACTTCTGTGCAATGGCCTTCTCTTCCTTTAGTGACCCACTGACTGTGGAAGGCTTCCTGTTTCTGATGTACTTAAAAACATATTTGCTGTTACTTTTTGTGTCTTGGTAGTTGCTCTTCCGATTCTTTTTTGACCTGCCTTGTCACATCTTTTCACTTGACTTGCCAGAGTTTATGTTCCTTTCTATTACTCTCAATAGAATTTAATGTCCAATTTTTATAGGATGCCTTTTTGCCTCTAACTGCCTCTTTTACTCTGCTAATTAGCCCTGGAGGCATTTTGTGGTCCTCTTACTGATTTTCTTTGTTTTTTTGAAATTTGGGGATCTACAATTAGTTTGAGCCTCCATTATGGCATTTTTAAATTGTCTTCTTGCAGTTTGCAGGCATTTCACCCTTGTGACTATTCCTTTACATTTCCATTTAACTAGCTTCCTTATTTCTGTGTAGTTCCCCTTTTTTGAAGTTAAATGCTACTGTGATGAGTTTCTTTGGTGCTTTTCCTCTTACAAGGATGTTAAATTTAATTGTGCTATTACTGACCGGTTCAGCTATATTCACCTCCTGGACCGGATCCTGTGCTCCATTTAAAACTAAATCAAGAATTGCATCTCCCATGGTGGGTTCCAGGATGAGCTTTTCCAAGAAACAGTTATTTATGGTGTCTAGAAATTTTTATCTCTGCATCCCTTTTTGAGGTGACATATACCCAGTCAGTATGAGGATAGTTTAAATCAGCCTCTTGAATCTCCCTGAGCATTTCACAATCCTTGTCACGATCCTAGTCAGGTGATCGGTAGTGTATTCCTACTGCTATACTCTTATTGATCAAGCATAGAATTTCTATCCTTAGAGATTATATGCTACAATTTTGATACATTTAAGATTTTTACTTTGACTCTATGCTTTCTTTCACATATGGTGCCACTCCCCCACCAATGCGACCTATTCTGTCATTCCCATATATTTTGTACCTGGTATTACCTTGTCCCCAAGTTTCCATGATGCCTGTTATATCAATACCCTCCTTTTAAGCCAGGCACGCTAGTTCATCCGTTTTAGTATTTAGACTTCTAACATTTGTATACAAACAGTTGTACATTTTGTCAATATTCAGTTGCTTGCCTTCATGTGTTATATTTAAATGGGACACTTTTGTGTTTGTCTGTTCTTCATTCGCTCCTACCTGTACTTTACCAACTTCTTTCCTATCCTTTTTTCTAGGATATAGAATTTCCCCTTTATTAAAGTAATCCCTAAGGGTTGCCTCTGCCCAAATCATGTGATTCACCACACCTGTTGGCTTTCCCCCAACCCTTTTTAAAAAAAATTCTCTACAGCCTTTTAAATTTTACATGTCAGCAGTCTGGTTCCACTTTGGTTTAAGTGAAGTCCACCCTTACTGTATTGGCTCCTTCTTTCCTCTAAGGTTCCCCAGTTCTTAATAAACCTAAAACCCTCCTCCCTACACTCTCATCTCATCCACACATTGAGACCCTACAGTTCTGCCTGTCTTTCTGGCCCCTGCTCATGTAACTGGAAGCATTTCAGAGAATGCTACCATGGAGGTCCCGGACTTCAATGTCTTATCTAGCAGCCTAAATTTGACCACCAGGACCTCTGTCTTACCTTTCCCTATGTCACTGGTGCCTACATGTACTATGACCACCAGCTCCTCCCCAGTACTGCATATAAGCCTGTCTAGAGGCCTTGTGAGATCTGCAACCTTTCCACCTGGCAGACAATTTACAATGTGGTTCTCCAAGTCATCACAGACTCAACTATCTATATTTCTAATAATCAAATCTTCCATTACTATTATCTGTTTCTTCCTAATAATTGGGGCTCCCTTCCCTGGAGAGGTATCCTAAGTGCAAGAAGATACCATGACATCATGTGGAAAGAGATTCCCAACTATGGGATGGTTTCTGTCCACTCCGGCCTGTTGCTCTCCTTCCATGAGACTTTCATCCTCCTTAATAGCACAGATTCTGTCTGATTGGGGGCGGGATTGCTCTATGATGTCCCTGAAAGTCTCATTTATGTACCTCTCTGTCCCCCGTAGCTCCTCTAGTTCAGCCACTTTGGCCTCAAAAGCCTGGATTGTTTCTCTGAGGGCTCCAAAGCTGTTTGTACTGCATGCACACATATGCTACCTGCCCACAAGGCAAGTAATCATACATGCTGCATTCAGTGCAATAAACTGGGTAGTCCCGCACTCTGCTGCTGGACTTTTGCCTGCATTATTTTTACTCTTGCAGTTTGTTTGTGTGTGTGTTAGTGGCCAAAGTTTAGACCAGGGGTAGGCAACCTATGGCACGTGTGCTGAAGGCAGCACGGGAGCTGATTTTCAGTGGCACTCACACTGCCCGGGTCCTGGCTTCCGGTCCGGAGGGCTCTTCATTTTAATTTAATTTTAAACGAAGCTTCTTAAACATTTTAAAAACCTTATTTACTTTACATACAACAATAGTTTAGTTATATATTATAGACTTAGAGAGAGAGACCTACTAAAAACGTTAAAATGTATTACTGGCACGCGAAACCTTAAATTAGAGTGAATAAATGAAGACTCGGCACACCACTTCTGAAAGGTTGCCGACCCCTGGTTTAGACTGTTTAAGTGTATCTGCCTCTTGGGCTGTCTCTCTCTCTAACCTCTCCTGTTCGCTGCTCCTGTTCATCAGCTCTTCTCATTGCTTAGGCGCTGTCTTTTAAAACCCCTGTTCCCCCTGAGTTCTCTGCCCCCTTTTCAAGGGATTCTAAAAGGGTTAGCGATCAAAGGATAGCAGTCTGGAGCCTCAGTAAGCTTGGCACAGCACACAGCCCCCACACCACACCACACTGTAATCTTTAATCAAACAAGCACATGGCAAGCAAGCAAATGTAAATGTGGGGGATGACAATTAGAGTCATTATGGGCTGGCAATCTGGAATGATTCTGCAGGGGAATGGAGTTCAACCAGCAGTTTTCCAAAACTGACAATACAGTGCTCAAGCTAATGTCTTAGAGAGGTGGGATCACCTGGTGTAGCTCAACAGTAATCTCTGAGATGAAGCTAGAAGTAACAGTTAATGGGCTTCTATGGGCAGTAACCTCTAGCTGTTCTCAATAGCAGCAGACCATAGTGATGAAGAGTCTTGAGTGATAAGAACATCCTCTACTGGACTGGAGAATAATATGTTGCATCAAACAGCTGAGCCTGTAGCCATTATATTTAGGTTTGTAAAGACCCTGTAGAAATCTGATATATTTAGTATTGTATAGTATGGTGATTTGAAGAACCTAAATAGACCCCTCACCATGTGGTTGTAACATAGTACAGTAACTCCTCGCTTAATGTTGTAGTTATATTCCTGAAAAATGTGACTTTAAGTGAAACGATGTTAAGCCAGTCCAATTTCCCCATAAGAATGAATGTAAATGGGAGGGTTAGGGTCCAGAGAAAAATTTTTAACCAGACAAAAGACTATATTTTATATGTATTTTTTTTATATATATATATATATATATATACACACACACACACACACACACACACACACACACACACACACAG